TCCACTATGTATTATTTTCTTATGTGGAATATTTGATTTCAACTGTGTAAAATCGACGGAATTTGATAACGAAAAAGTTCAATGTCTCACAATTTAAATGACAAAGAAAGTTACATGATGTCATGTTGCGCGAGGCCGATCCACAAACCCTCCATTGAAAACAGGGTTGTCATAAGATATCGTTTTTCCCTCGAGTGAAGCCCTTTAGTATAACTGTGAAGTGGCCACAGCACTGTTCCCTATTCCATTGTTTCTATGTCTGTTCCTATTATTAAATTGCGGAAAAAAACTCTGTATTGCGTACTTGTGCAGGCGTGTGTACCATTCGAGCCCGTCGATATCAGTGCTTCGAATCTGCTGTTAAAGCATCCGTGCGTGAACCTTTGTTGTTTTGATAAAATGGGCTACTTGGTCTATTGTAATTCTACCCATTGTAATTTAAGAGAGATGAACAGTCCTTTTATACGTGATAGGTTGTTGCGATCCCAGAGTGGTCCGATAAAGTTTTTGTCAAGTTGTAATATACGGTAGAACCAACCTGCCGCCGTGTTATAATCAGGCGCGGATCCAGGATTTTTGCAAATAAAGAATGTCTATTTCAAAGATGAATTTGCGCCGGGGAGATGTAAATTAATTTTGGATTTTTATGTCGGGCAGGGCAAAAATCTCAAATCAATTTAAATAAAGAATGGTCCACCACAATGTGTTTCTACATATATCTTCATTGCCACCATTGTTCTACTTTAACAAACCAAGACGCCCACGGTTTAATGGGAACAACAGTTTTTACGCAATGCCCTTTTTTCTCTTTTTTTTTTAGTTTCGTAAGGCCTTTAACAATGTGACCTGAATGGTATTCATTATTTTGGTTTCAGAGAAGAGTTAGGCTGATAGTAAACAATATTATCCAAGACAATTCGGTAAGTGGCCCGTTGTCTGTGGAACCGTCCCCTCGGTGATTTAAAAAACGGGCAGTAAATTTAATTACAGAATGCCGATCTCCTCATGTGCTTCCCTCTTCGTCTCTTTCTATTTTGCTTGTTTCTGTAAATTTACAAGTTGCAAGCGTCTCCCTGGAATCGCGCCTTATGATATGCTCGTTTGACTCACACACCACATCTTGCTGAAGAACGAAACACGAATTTGGGTCACCTAGGGGTTACATTCTTTGCCTCCATTGTAAACAACGACTTGTCATGTCAAAGCGAGAGCACAACTCCACTATCGCTTATACGTGATGGTCAGAACCTATTTTTTTTACCTGAGCGTGAGCTTTCGTGGCCAATACCAACTCTGCGAAAAACAGTCGTGGTGAAAAACTAAGTTGATAAGCTGACCGTCGAGCCGTACGTCAGCCTTACCCCTTCACATGCCTCGGGTGATCGGTGTCCTTCGTCGGCTCTTATCGGTTCTTCCGTAACTGGTCCGTACTCCTAGATCACGCCTTGCTGCATAACCATATCTCACAAACAGCGAGACAGTTGTTCCGTGACAGCAGAGAAGCGTAGAACGCTGGAGATTGCAAAATGAAGGATCGAAAGAGATTGAAGATCGGCTTAAGTGTTATGCATTGTGACTGTTTTGGTCTGCTGTTCTTAAAGGTATTTTGGCGCCATTTTGGTGTCTGTGCTGTTATGAATTTCCATGATAACAAGTAAAGGGATCCAGGGAGACAACTTCAGTGCTTTGTGCATAAAATCTAGTATAATTTGTTTTATTGTCCTTGTCCTAAATTTCCTCCAATAATCCAAAGAGCAACCCTTTTGCGGAAATGTTTTCAGTGAGCATATTTTGGGTTCACATTTCAAACGGAAAAACGTTCGATTTGAACTGAAGTCTCCCGATTGACATCACGGCAAGGGCCCCCTCAGTTGTCCAGACAAGGCTGGACATTATTAAACGTTTAAAAAGTTCACTCTCCAATACAGTTTCATACCTTGAGGAAGAGAATAAAGGTGCACACAAGAAGTATGCCAATGCAAAATTCATCACATATACCCTTTAAAGTAAAAAAGTCCGCATGCAGTGACGTACACATTGCAGGAAATAACTTTTGGCCTATTATGAACACTTGTATAAAGCTGCACTGTTCTTAAGCTTGAGTTCACTGTCAGGTAGCTTCGAGTTCAGCGCGTGCACATTTACTGAATATCTTCTGAATCATTTCCGAAAGCCTCACTGTGGCCATTTACTCTACATGTATTTCTCTACCGGCTTTGACTTTGAGGTTCTCTTTGCAAAGTATTTTGGCCTTAAATCCTTAGTGGCCCCTTTGTTATATAGTATGCGCCAGCTACATCGAATAGGGTTCCCTCTTCCAACTTATTTGGTGGGATTAACGTGCTTGCATTTCTTTTAGCCATTCGTACGAAAAAAAAAACAGCAAGGGACTCCTTAAAGGTTCACATAATTTTGCATAATCATTGAAAGAGCAAGTCTTAAGTTGCATCCGCTTTTGAAATCATTCTAAAAGAATCCAAAAATTAAATACTCTATAATCTGTCGAGAAAAACAATTTTAGCCCTGCGTCTAACTCAGCTAAATTTTCTGGGGGGTTATTTTACTGTCTGTTGATAAATTCTTATGTAGGATCCCATAATAATGGATTTCTTTGCCTGCTTCTGTTCGCGCAACCGAAATCCGGTTATTTCAACACAGGCCGACCGGGACACAATGTACTCAGCCGTGCCGGCTCGACTGTACGTTCTCTGTTCAGGCTTTGGGGAAAGGTTAATGATCAAGATCGTAGGTACAGGGAGCCGTCTGTACCTTTCCGTTTGCCCAATTTTTCCGTAGTCAGCACAGTTCGTCCGAAGTATGCACAGAAGAGACATTTATCAGACAGGAAGTTGAGCTTAAATGTGGGATTAAAAGGAAAATGGTAAAGGTGGGAGGTTTTGTGAAACGAACGGTCTTTCTTGTTGTGTTTGGGGAGTAGTGCTGACAGATTCCACTAACTGCCATTGAATACTTCGTCTGAGCTGACTGTGATGTGTCTGTTTTGAGGCTCGTATTGGATGAAGGTAATAGACTATGGTGGCCCTGGAGGGACATCGCTAATCGTCAATATTGCCGTCAATTTCCTCGACCAAAATTCACGACTCGCTCTTCAGTCGCAAATATTGACATCAATATTTGCGACCAATTCACGACTCGTATCTCCGGTCGCAAATATTGCCAGGATTTTTTTCCCGCAGGCTAAGCGGAAATGAAGTGTTGATGCGCACGCTCAATGACCTATATCGTACATTTTTCGGCTTGATCTCAAGTCGTTATTCGGCAGGGCAGTTTTGGCACAACGCAGGGGGCACAACGTTAAAAAGCAATTGCTGTGTCTAAGTGGAGCAACTCCCTCTCTACCTGGCTTGCTGGAAAAAAACTCGCGGCAATATTTGAGGCTGGAGATAAACGAGTCTTGGATTTGATCGCAAATATTGGCGTCGGTATTCGCGACTGAAGAGCAACTCGTGAATTTTGGTCGCGCAATATTCGCGACCAGAAAAGCAGTCGTGAAATTGGTCGTGAATATTGGCGTCAATATTTACTATTGGCGATGTCCCTCCAGGGCCACCACAGTAGCTAGATTGGGATGGGATATGATTTGCATGGCATATCTACGTTATTGGTTTGGATTGGAAGTGATTGCATTGCATTTCATTATAGTTTGAATTGGTTTGGTGTGATGGGATTCAGTTAGGTTGATTAGATGGGATGGGATGGTAGGATAATGGGGATGATTGGAATTGGATTGTTTATTTGAATCGGTGGTTCCATAATTTGTTGGGTAGATTTGAATGGAATCTGATTTGAATTTTCTTGACTGTGATGGATTAGATTGATTTGATTGAGCGCACCATGTTTTAGAACCATTTTTGGGTACATTCCAATTTGTAACTCTCCTTGTTTACCGGTTTCACAAGTAATATCAAATATCGATAAGCAAATGACATCGTGATGATCTCCCTCCCTCCTCCGCCCACACAAAGGCCGGAGACAAGTTTTTCGGCCCCTCGTTCATTGCCCGACGCAGCCCGTCATCTTCACCTCCGCGAACCTAATCTCCCCAAAATGTCAAAATGAATGACAGGCCCAATGTAATGCCTGCCCACTCCCAGACGCAAACACACTGATCTGGTTCTGCCACGAAAGGGCATCACTAATGGTGCATCGTGTGTACCTCATCTGCGGCCGCTGTTTGTAAGTGATTTGTAAGCGGGGGATCCATTTAAATTCTTGGTCGTAAATCTGTACCCCTAGAAGAGCGATTTGGATTGCTCTCCGCCTGTAATTCAAAGGCGCTTGGTGCGACGCTATTTGGGACTGTCACTTGCGGTGTAAATACGACGGATGGTGTTTTTAAGGGTCACAATCCCTGCCCTCGGGGAACAGAGGCGATTCCCAAATACCAGCAGCTGAAGTGTTCGATGTTCCCCCACTTTTTTCTCTTCCTTTATGGAAGCGCCCTCTGTTGTATCCGATGCGATAGCGCTGGCAGGCAATGGGTAGTTGTTCAACTCGCCCCGGCGACGACATTTACCCTGGAGACTACGCAAAATGGTACGTGTCGATCAGCTTGAGGAGTGACGTAGGGATAGTTCCCCTCCCTGCCCCAGGTTCGAACCCAACCCAGGGCATGGTCCATATGTGTTCTGTGTTTATTCAATCCCTTCCTCAGAAACACAAAAACAAACCTCGTCTTACCAAAGACAGCTAGAAGTGTCTAGAAATACAAAATTTGGCCCGACGTCCCAACAAGACAGTTTTTGTTGTAATCACCAAAGACAGTTCGATATTCACCCACTTGCGAGGAGGAAGAATTCTCGTTTGCGGGATGCCAAGACGAATTCTGCCCTCAGTACACGCCGTAAAAATCTTCCTAGCAGAGCAAATTCTTGTTTCGGAGCTGATCTTAGGCCTTTGGGTTTCGTGTCAGTTCCCTGGTTTTCCCTTTCCGCTTTAAACCCAGTACAGCTGAGCCGTCTTTATTCTCTTCTCCTGAGGTTTCACGAAGCTTCTGAGCGATACTACCTTCTGTGGCTTGGCTCTCTTCAAAAAGACATGTGCAAGCACGTGGCCAGTCCTGCGTGAATTCTCAAAGGAAATGGGATAATCGTGAGCAGTGTCAAATTGTGGTTTAAAGGACTGCGCATACAAGCGGTTGTTTTGCCAGTGGACACGGCGGATTCTTTTAATGCTGAAGAAGGTGAGTGGCGTATTTCTCCCAACTCCTTGTGTATCTTTCAAACGTTCTTCAAGAATTTGCATATCCAGCAAGAAACGAGACCGAGGGGTACCCCCCCCCAATTTGTCCGATCGCTATACACATTCTAGACGATTGCTACCAGTACCTAACAAAATCCCCCTAGATGTCTGAAAAGAATTCCAGTGAGACAATGACCGACACAAAGCGGGGAGGGGGGATTCTCTCCGTCTCATAACTTGCTTTATAATGTGAATTTGCTTTCTCTCATAATTCACGATGACATTCCTCTTTAATCTGCAATTGTAGGATAGATTCGGTGAATGTAGGCCTATGCACATCGTGCAGTGGGTCAGGGTTAACCGTAAAAGCCGGGCCGGAATTTATCCACTCAACATTTTCCCCCGACATTGTCGCCGTGCATTTCTTTTTACACCGAGCCTTGTGAAGGTTTCCCAGGAAAGTGTTGCAACCTATTCGACCCCACTTTTTAAACAAAAATCGGATTTACAGTTGTCGCAAAGTGCTCATTTTTCCAAAGCTGGTCGGCTTAAAATTGTAACTTTCCGATTGACATGTTGACACGCTAGACACGCATCGCTAGACGCGTGTTTTTGTTTTGTTTTGTTTTTTTTTTTTGGGGGGGGGGAAGTTACAGCATCCTTGCTTTTACTGGTATCCCAATATACTTTGCAAAGCAGAAAATTGCGTTTTATGGGTTGAATATTTACATGGGTATATGTACAGGGCATTCAGGTAATATGAGTCAGCCAGACGTGACGTGCATTTCAATACGAAATTGATGTCTATCACCGTCAGGAATCTGTCGTTTTGGTCCAAATGTTTTGTGACATAATTGTCCTGGATGTGTTCCATTAACTTTGCATCCAGTTAATGTCAGGCTGTCGAACGATACTCTGCCTGGTTGGATTTGATGCGGAGGAAACAGTGCCCGTACTTTTAATTTGTCACAGGCAAGGTTTTGGAAATTGGAATTTTTGTTTTTCTGTTATTCTTATTCTTCGTTTTGTTTTCTGTGACTGGTTTTCGTTCTTAGGTTTTTTTTTCTTCGTCGTACGTCTCTAATAGCTTTGGTGGTACATAGCTGATATTGACCCTGTACGGATATATATATTTGGTGGATGTGTTTTATGTTAAATGAAATGATTCTGTGAATTTGTACTTCGTTACCTGGTTACACAAGCACTCAAATACTTTGTTTTCCCCCATTGTTCTAGCTAATTATTTGCAATTTAATGCGGTTGTATATGTAATGTAATTTAATGTAATTGTAAGTAGATAGTTATGGTTTTGGGAATCCAATAGAATAATTTTATATGGTTTTGATGTCTGTAATTTTGACTTATATTTTAGACATATGCGCAGTGGTTGTATTGTTTTAAATTGTAAGGCACATTTGATCACATTTTAATGGAAAATACGCGGTATAAATTTTAAAATGTTAAATGTTTTATGTTCTCTTTTTTTCTTTTGTTTTTCTTTTGCGTTTGATTTTGCTGTCTGTTACATATTTTTTGTTGTTTTCTTTTTTTTTTTTTTGTTTTTTTTTTTTTTTTTTTTTTTTTTTTTTTTTTTTTTTTTTTTTTGGCTTTTTTTAATGGCTTCGGTTTTTCGTGTTCTGTTTCTTATTTTTGTTTTGTTGGTTTGTTTGATGTTGCTGCTGATGCTACTTTAAATTGTTGTTAGTATTGTTGTTGTCTTTGTCACTGTTGTTTCTGACTTTAACTTTTTGTTGTATGCGGAACCGGATTGTTCATTCTGTCGCAAATAGGTAGTTTGTACTGTGTACGGCTATTCGCTTCCTGGCTCTTCATTTTCCCATGATGGATCTCTCCGAATTCCCTCTTTGAATATTGCTGAGTGACTTTCTTTCCCTTCATTCTGGGGGAAGGATACACCCGAAGTTGATATCGCGTTCCTTGCCGTGTTCCAATTATACCTACTACATGTCAGACACTTGGTTGGTTTGGTCTATCTTGTGGAAACTAAAACTTGAAGACGGGCATTTCCGGAGAGTTCTCGCCATGTACTTGTCAAGCGTTCTTGAGGACTTCTGTCCTGAAAGTTTTCTTACAGAGTATATTGTGTTGTATTGTTAGGTATTCAAAATCCCACATTTGTTGTGCTTTTCCCACAAATTTCAGTGTCTGTCTGTACTGTCAACCTGTTCGCGATACAGAGCTCAGTATTTGGAGGTAAAAGGGAACTCGGGAAGTATCAAACCACAACATCTGCATCCTTGCATGAGGGAGAATGGCGTCCAAAATGCTTCACTAAACCCAGGTCACAATACCAGCAAATTCACAACCATATCCTCCGTCTAAATAGCTGGATCTCTCCTTGTCGTGTACCACCACCTTCTCCAAATGATGATCGTTATCCAACTGATGCTCCTCGACTGAATTCTAAGCAGGAGATGTTCATTCAGCTCACTCGAAGTTTTCCCTTTCGATTTCTTTGTTTCGAATTCACGGAGGGAGGAAGACTATGGCGTTATCGCAAGCCGCACCACTTCACGCTATTTACACACATTTTGTGTGGCGGGGGGACGGAAACAGTACAACAATGAACTTGACCAAAAGAGAGTTGACAGCGTGTGGAAATTACTACGTGATCACGTTCTGGTTCTACCAGTAACTTGATCCCAAAATCAAGTTATAAATTTACAGCGAACTTGTGTAGGAAAGCAAAATTCAAGCACCCTTTTTGAAACCTTTGCAAAGTGGTGTGCCGGCGAGTGCTCGATGATTGATCGCGCTGTCTCGAATGACACTTGAGAGGCAATAAAATAACAGGTACCAGTAACATTCAGTGGGAAGAGAAGAAAAGAGATGCAGTGCGCCGAGCGGAGATAACACCGCTCCCTGTCGCTCCTTTCTTGTCGTGAGAGCCCGTAGGTTTTTTCTCATTTTGGTCGCGTGGTTCAACCCCGATGTGAAAAATTAACAATGGGTTATTCTATGGGGTGAGTAACATGCGGGCAGCGGGCCGCAAAGTGTAGAAACTTGATCGCCAACGGTTGCCGTAAACCTGGTTATGTTTCTTGAAGTTTAAACAATCGCACAAACTTTCTCTGAATTCGTGTGTACCTCGTTCATTCATACAAAGAAATAAGTGCCTGTCAAACCGAGGATGCAACATCAATACGCTTAGTGATAAGTTGTTTTTCAATCAAATGTTAAGAGGCTGAACTGCATGTACTTAGTGTGGATGTGTAATGTTACTCACAAGTGGCCTTGCTACATTTTTCCTAAACCCAGCCTCAATTTCCTTTAAGTTGCAAAACGATCTCTTTTTAATGGCGATTTATCCCTTTTCTTTTTCATGGCAATGTAGGCCTACCTGAATTCTCTTTGCTGAGAAATTTTTCAACCAGAAGTCATTCGAATACAAAGTGGAACGTGGCTGATCAAGCCTGAGTTCTAAAGTGTATCTTACATATTGGAGTGCTTTAGAAGTTTTAACAATTTGATTTTTTTCAGCGGGGGTAGGCCTGTATATCGTTATGGTCTGTATAGCAGTGTGTTTGTGTTGGTTTGGAACCCAGACTCTCAGGAGGTCGTTCATTATATTCCCCGGTGCATACCTGTGTACGTGTCATCATGAACCCTTGACAAAGCAGTGACTTCTCCGACATTCCCCCTTTTGCATGGAGTCTGCACTGGGGAAAACGCGAGAAGCCTCGGTTAACCGCAACTTCCAACTCTCCGTGTTCGAGGTTCTTTGCAAACACGGTGGTGTAGAATTAACACCGCTTGAGAAATGGTAGGAATTATGGGTACACACGTGTAACTAACAAGCAGTCTAGGTCGGCAGAGATTTTTTTGTTCAATTCAAGCAACTTGTGATTTCAATCAAATTTTGGATTCGTTTTAGGAATTAGGCGAATACTTTACTCCAAGATTAACACGGTTAGGTGTTAGTGTAGAATTATGCAATAAAATACAGACCTTATTTTAATCAACTTCTTTCTTTCTTTTCCTCGGTTTTATTGAGATTACAAAATGATGGTGAAACCAAAACCGTTAATAAGATGTTCTTGATACAGTTATTTTTATTAAGCCAAAATCATTATTCTTTTATTTATCAAGAAGCTGGATCTCAAATAAACCCAATACACGCAAAGTGGTAGCATTACAGAAAAGTGTTTTGGGCCCAAATGTTGTAAAATACATGTACGTATAGACCCGTCAAAGGTATAGAAACATGCCCTGATAAGAAGTCTTGATGAACAAAATAAATCTCTTTCTTTTGAGCTCTCGGCTCAGACCAAGTTCTGTCAACGAGACGGCTTTTTACGATCAGAGCCTGGTAAGAAAATAACCGGTATCAGCCACTTGCCTAAGTATATAGCATGTACTTTCGACAGTAAATAAAGTAACATGTATTTGATGGCATTTGTCAATTAACGAATCCTGTGACCTCTACTTTTGACAAAACTCAAAATATGGTTTAGAACCTGGTATAGCGCTTTGCCCCTTTTGCCGTTCACACGACGGACTTGGCATCAACAAGAACATGGACAAGTTAATGCTGCACTACATGTCCTGTATTTTATGCGGGCTTGGACAGTATGTGTGAAGACATACCCATAAGAACGTGCACAAAATTTTCCAACTTTACTGTCCCATAGTTCAATATTCCCTAATCTGATCTGAACCAAACTTGGTATGTTTTCATTTTAGGCCCTAAACTATCATCTCTCAAAATATTCGGCCTCCTTCTGGTAGTTTGAGACTGAAATGTCTCCCTAAAAGCCAGTGTCTCCCTAATGCTGTAAAAATTTACCACAAAATGTCTCCCAAATGACCTATTTGTAAATATTATTAATTGCTCAAATGAAGAAAATGAGATTTAAATTGTCAGATTTCCTGTTTAAATATTTGTAAAATCTGATATGTTTTAATTAAAATAAATCGCCAATCCTGTGTTTTATGAGGGAGAGAGGTCGTTGAATCTGGAGTACACGAGGCGATGTTTTAACTTGGTAGGCGTTGGCAAAACATCGTGAGCAGCTAGAAAAGCTTCATTTAATTCACTATTGTTTGTTCAAGTTTCTGTTTGATTACTGTTGCTGTTGTTTTGTGTGTCGACCAATCACGTGATCTGCTTAACTTGAGAAGTTGTGTTTGCGATACAGACTTCAGGCAGGACCTGGACGTGGTATTATGGGTGGCAGCCAGCCAGTGGAGGTTAAATCAGACGGAAACCGTGGTATCGGCACTTAAGACGAAGACAACTCTGGACTTGTAGACAAACTGCACTGGGAGCGTTAACCAAAAATATTAGCCATTGGAACAAACACACACGTCGGCCAACCACGTCAACGACAAGGGACCCGGTACATAACTGTGTTAGGTCTCAAGACCATGGCTTTGACGTCAGATGACACTGGCAGTGGTGATTGCACCAATAGTACGAAAATTTACGAGAAATAGCACAAACTTCCAGCGTTCGAAAAAGAAGTCAACCCAAGTGACACGATTTGTAGATGTCGTCTAAACTTTGACCTTGCATTTGCTGCCTTAGAAGCGTCCCACTTTTCAACCCCCCCCAACGGAAAACTAACAATGTTTTTTCCTTTCTAATCGCTACAGAGTACACTGCACCGCCCCTCCGGGACATTTACGACCCGTGTAATGGTCCTTGATCAAACAGCGTCTATCCTCGGCATTTACATCAACCACCGTTGCACCACAACCACAGGGGGAAGGAGTCGAGCGATCGCCCCGCTTGCCCACCGACACCTCACATGCCTGTTCGGTTTGATTCCGTGCACAGTAAAGGCGACATTTCCACCTTCAGGCTATATCTTATCTTGTTCCAAATTAGACCATATTAGGGTAACATAGATCGTTAATGATCTACGATCATTTAAACAGAATCAGCTTGAGTAGGGCCCAAAGTCCGAGGGCTCAACTTTAGGCTGCGTTGGAAAGTTATACGCGGGTAGGTCCGTTGCCTAGTGGGCCAGAGTAAAGCGATCAAGAAGTCTGGGGTACCATGAAATACATGAAAAATGCATAGTACATGCATCAAGCACACGGTATCAATGTCCCCATGAATGAATTATCTGTTAATAGTTTGCTGGGAGCTAGCCTGATCGAGTCTTAAGCTTCACCCTCGTTACATTTGAGGGGTTAGTGAGCAGCAAATAACCCTGCTTTTTCAGCTTTCGATTGCTTTTGTGCTTTCATGAACAATCCCAACAAATCTGGAAGATCTCTTCGGCAAGGCTTTTCTTCAGAAATTAACTTTGGATTGTGATCTTTTAACGGGCATTTCTGATGTCTTTGTATGAAGTACTCTGCACTCTTTAATTTTAAGCATGCTCCGATGAGAAAGGGAAGCAATTTCGACCACAGTGTCGTCTCGAAAAGGCATATTTTACGGACGTTTGTTGCCTATAAATGGCCTACACCTGGCCTCTTTCGGTGGATCATCAAATCAGTCAAACTGATTTCGCATTTATTAGATCTAAATTGTGCAAAATCATCTTTCTCGCTGGACCAAGAATGAGTGTTATTCGTTTGCTGCTTCCCCACCATTTTACTAGTTTAATTAGACGCATTTATCCGAATTGCAAATACTTAAAAGAGAATATCAGTTTTGTCTTTTCATTTGGAACTTGAAAGAAGGGTGTAATAGAGCTGCAATTAAGCAGTATACAAGGCCCCTTATAGGTGTCGTAAAGCACGTGTAATCCAAAAAAAAGTTGTCCTAAATTTTCAAATATGGCGACGGGAGTCGTAGTTGAGATTTTGGAGTGTTTTTTTTTTTCAAAGATAATTATTGCGTTAAAAAATTCAAGTTGGAACTCTGCTTTGACTTTTCTCAATACTTTCTTCGGTACATGAATATACAAAATGAAAAACGTCTCCATCACTGTAGGATAGCCTGGAGAATCTGTGTACCCTTCCTTCCGCAACCATTGTCAACGTACCACACTTGTGACTATATTAGTACACAGCTAGTGCGTGGTCCATACTCAGTGAGCCAATGAGGTGCCGAGCTTGACAAAACTGGTGCCAAAGTTCCTCGGTCACTTACTCGCTGTACATAATTACGGCCGCAGTTGGTAACCCTCACAACCGGCGCATGTGTTTAGTGGAGCTGCTCGTTTTCGGATACCAGCCAGGACGGATGGCGTAATCTCTTTGGCACATCCATCCGCGTTTTGGATGTTGGTGGCGTTTAGGCCATGGACGGTGCATCACCGTGGACTTCACGGCCGGTGACTTGCCTGTATAAATTACGTGTCAGCGGTGCGCGTCGTGTACTCGGTGTACACACACTTGTAGCGTAAACTTTTCGAGTCCTCCACGGGGCAAGCAGTCTCCACGCAAGCCTGAGTACTAACCGGGCTGGACCATCGGTTTCCACGAGCAAGGCTACCTTGTCAGCGTTACGCAACCAAAGGTGGGCTTTTGCGACCCGACGAGCCTGACCAGATATGAGTGGACTGTCTCTCTGAAAACCCCACTGTCCGTCCGTTTCAAGTCCAGTTGACGTCCAGCCATCTAGCTATCGCCGGTTATCGCTCTATCAGTCATCCAACCAATTCGTAAGTACCGCTATTTTCAGATACGGCACTATCGGGGGGAATCTTTATGGGCCATTGGGACGAGACAAGGGGGAGATACGGCGCGATACCGTCGACTGTTGGCAATTGATGTTCTCCTCGGCACGGGCACGTAATCAAAGCAGGGCTTGAGTGAGTGGAGTTAGGAGCCGTGTAGCACGCGCGACCCGGCCCCCTCGGCGGATGAAAAGTGCAGGCACGGTCGTACACCGTCCCGTGAGCTGCGCGCCACTTCCGCGTGCAGAGTACGCACTGCTTATCGGCTGCAAAACCCCTCGGTAAGTTTATCGGGGGAAGATAGCCAAGTGGATGTTTAGAATTGTAAAGATATCGGGCTTTTGTCCTCAATATAGTGCGTTGGGTGGATTTCCCCTGAGCTGATATTGCATAGTACTTCGAAGTTTTTGATATGCCAAGTATTTCTAAGTAGGGAAAACCGTTTGAAAGTTGAGAACTCTTGCCGCAGCTGTGCAGTGCAGTCGCTCCATACATTGGTCAAACGGGTTATGCGACAGAGGTGGGGTTAAGAGAAAGCAGAAACGGCGCTCTTCAACTGTTGAAAATGGTTTTCCTCCTCGCCTCAGGGATGAGGTACTTTATTGACATTTCTGCGTCGTAGCTGCAAAGTTTGGGTTGATAAGGGTCAATTTATCTATTTGCAGCAAAACAAAACTGGGCAGAAAATATCAGGGTCTTTTAAACCTCGGACAGTCCTTTGGTATTTAGCGATAATAACTGTGTATTGGCTGTTATGTTTTCTGATCTTTTTCTATGTTTGAACCGTGGCCTGAGTAAGATGTTCATTTGTTAACTTGTGTCGTCTCTTTTGTAAACCCGTATCGGGTTTTCAAAGAACAATATAGGCTCGTGTTCCCTTTTCTACAAACAACTGAAAGACGAGTTCAGTTTTCCTTTGTGGAAAGAATTTCAATCAATTAGACTACCCGTGTGCCACTAGAAACACACGAATTGCCCCTGTATTATGTACACTGTTGGTCTGGTACCAATTTTGACGGCTGGTACATGTACTTTTCCTTTTCCTCGTGGCTCACGAACGGAGCCCATTGTCTCTGGGGCATTTCCCCCTTCTTTCACGGCCCACCGCGCTGCAATCAGTGTGCCGTAAATCTGCCATGTTCCACGGTAGCAGTTAATTAGCTTTCACGCTCCATTTCGCCTCGCGTCACTGGGGGTAAAACCGACAGAAGTCATTGGCAGATGGCGAGGATTTTACCAGGCCCGTGGCTGGCCAGATTCTCAGGACTTCAGTTTGAGAACTAGTTGTGAAATAAATCAGTGCCTGTTTTGCCCATGAATCTTATTCAAATTGTTTACGACTGAAAAGTATTTTATTTCTTTCTTCTTTTCGTTCTGTTTCATTGTGGTGTTAAGTAATTTGGGAAATAAGGAAATTCTCCTTGTTCAGCGTTATAAAATAATGATTTTGTTAACTGATCGGGTGGCTTAATTTGTTAAATTTCTGTACTGATTCATTGATTATGTTACTATTTTTCCCCCCGAATTGTAGTCAGACTTTTTCTTTCAAAAGTTGACTCTCCTCATTAAAACATTTTGATCATTCACTTGCCACTCTCGTTGAAGTCAGGCCGTGATGTGTTAATTTCATCATGGTAGGAACACTTCTTCTTTACTACTTTACCTGGCTGATTGGCATTTCACCGCAAAAGCAGCAGCGATGCTTAATAAGTGCTAATTTCTCGTGGCTAATTGGCAGCCAAAAGCGTGCTTGTCGCTATCGGACACCAGTCGATCGAGTCTGGTACCTGCCGGAAACTGATTAATGCTCGCAATTTTGACCCCCCCCCCAAAAAAAGGACATTTTAAAGATGACCATACTGTACCACCGATACACTTTTAACCCTTCCAAAGGCATTATGATTTTACAACTGTCTTGGATTGGATGACCCATTTATTGTTGAATTCGGCATAAAGGTCACGAGTTTTCATCGAATAAATCCAAACTTAACTCGGAAGGAATATGTGCAAGGACTAATTTTTTTATTAATATGAAAGGGCTGCGCAGCACCGTGATCAGAATATTGAGAAGAATATAATATATAATCGATGCTCTTGGCAATTCCATATTTCAGAGCACTGATTGTATTTTATATTCTACTTTTTCGATAGGTCCACTCACACGTTTCTTTTAGAGTCTACTACTTTCTGGAATCCCATGCATTCGCGCAAAGGCATCGTTGTTTCCGCTCAAGACTCCAAACCGACCGTTTGGTTGTTTTAACTCGCGCCTACGGATGTTGTTGCCGAACGGTTCCACAGTGTAACCCGCCGCCCGCTCACCAGTTGCGGCTTCCAGTACCAGCCCTTATCACCAAACTGTACATTTTGTTACAGCCAAAAGCCTCTTCCAATTTTTTTTATCGCGCTACAACCAAGACAATAAAAGGCTACAAAGCCCCTCCCCCCGCAGTAAATACCCGACCATTAAAAATACACCCTTTTGAAATATGGATCTGTCTTTTTTTTTTAGCCCAATGCAGCACACACTGGGTCCGCGACCCACTTGACTTCTGGACTGTGGCGCGGAGGTATCCAAATTTGTTCCCCACCTAGCCGCGGCCGGGCAGCCGGTCCTGGGTTGACACAACGGTGCCGCGGTGGCTGGCCAGCCGAATGCCAGCACTGGGCGGTTGGGTTGGTAACGCCGGCATGCTAAACCCGCTGTTGATTCTCGGAGTTTGATCACACCACCGAACACTTTTATATAAAGGACTTTTTTCTCCCAAAAACTCTGTCCTAGAGATTGTTCTAACCCCCCCCCCATCATTACAGGTTTCTCGCACAATAGGTGTCTTTTCATTTCGGTAGCAAAGGAAAAAACTGTCCCACACACGTGTAAGTCTATTCGAGGTGGACCTCTGTCAGATATTGCGGGAAATTAATTCGGAAATAATGAGCCACGCTAACCTAGTCTGAAGGACGCGTACTTGTGGGACTATACATCGGCGATGAAAAGCGTTCGGATAAAATGATATCCCTCGGCTATAGTGCATCTGTACTTTTATTTAACCCAGTTTCATCTGAAATTATTCAGGCCTTTTCAAAATAGAGAAAACAATTCAAGTAGCAGGAAAGTCCTTGGATGAATTAGCTTCGGCCAAGATAGATGTGACGATGACAGGTAAATTACTGTTTATTACGGTCTGGATTTTTTGCGAGCAGTTTCTCTGGATAGTTTACAGCGATGAACGAAACGATGAACGAGAATTTTTTTAAAATAAGATTCGTCTTGTTAACTCAGTCTCGCATGAAAGAGCAAACCCGAATCTGGGATTAGGAAAATTAATTCATATCGAGCGCCACTATTACAATTTTGCAAAAGTATGTAAACTCGATGGATCAACGATTTTCCGAAACGTTTAAAAATTTTAAAACGCTCCACAGGTGATGACTTCCAGGAACATACCCAAACTAATTAGAAAAATGCCCTGTAATTTGGCTCACTTGCCGAGAATCATAACCTTGCTTGTTTATTTGTTGGCGTCTTATCCATTGTATGCAAAGTGAAACGCCACCAGCGTTGGGCCTCGCAGAAAGGTCCGTTGCGCAACTTTTGTGAGCACATTGCACATTGCTCAACAATATAGAATCCCTTCGTATATTCTTACTTTGTCTTAGGTTACTCACAGTCTTGGTTTACTTCTCGTCATACCTTCGTTTGACTCAATCTCTCATCTGTCATAAGATCAACTAGTAAATTTGGAGTTGTTAAAAACACTTCAAAGTTCAACGGGGCATCGTACTTCGAAGAAAGAAAGGGTCTTGATTTATCATTATTACTGGGCACAGGGCATTTTTGTTTGATCAGGATTGAGTGGTCAAGCGAGCTTGTAAAATTTCGTCTCCGTGTGGAGAGCTCGGCAAATTTGAACCGAAACGCGATCCAGGGGGAAACAAAGGAAGCAACTGACGGGGTCAATATTTTCTTAGAGTCAATAAATTAGGGGACAACAACAGCTCGAGGTCAACAGCAAGGTACCATCATGTCCTTCCATTTGAATTCAAATCCACGCCTTTCAAATTCTTGGAGAGTTGTGGTGTATAAGCTACACAAGAACGCGTTTAGAAAATACATTATAGTGCATGGATATGAGAGCGTGATTTTCCAGAGTGAGATGTGATGATATATGCCTTTGTTATTTAAGTTCTAAGTATGAAACTTCATGGGAAAATGAAGACTAGCACCGTTTAGGAACCTCTCCGCGTTATATATACGTGTACGTGTGTTGGCTCCATGGAACATAACCAATATGGCGGTAAAATTTTTGGGATTTTGCCTGTTATCCTCTTGTTTCCTTTTCAGACTCAGATTCAGTTTAGAGTCGTGTTAATTATGCAAGTTCATGCAACATCTCATGTTGTCTTTTACCCAATAATTGTTCTGCCAGGGAATAATTTCAACCTTTGTCAGTATCCACTATTTAAACACTTTCGGGGAAAGTTTCCGTTGTATGTCGTCATCGTGGTGAGCAGCACTAATGTACTACACGTACAGAGGAGAACACAGTTTTGCATTACTTTGTTGAACTTGACGAATTCTGAACACACTAGTCGTGTTGGTAATTGGTAGATGACCTGCAAGGAAATTCAAACTTTGCTCCGAATGGCAAAATCCCTAAATAGCTACATGTATGTTCAACAGGTGATAGTCTCAATATTGCCTGCATTTCACAAAATGCGACAGACAATTGGAGTTTATTCACCCCTGGCATTGGACACGTTTTTGCCCATTCATGAAATTTTCGGGGGAAAAGGTGTTGCGTGTCAAAACGACGGGTCAGCAGAACACGGCACAACCACCGGCATCCTGTTCTCATCCTGCCGGCCACCGGGGGCATTATGTAACGGCATCCCCTCCTTCGGACAGAATGGCCTCGGTAAACTAAAGTCGGGAAACAACCCCGGAAAAAAACTCAACGCTAGAACTTTCCCAGAAAACACCAACTTCCTTGTTGTTGAAAATCATTCTTTTGGCATTTGGGCTTGAACCTGTTCCTACTTTTCCCAAATCATTTGAACGACCTGTTCACTTGTATGCTGTATGTTAAGGTAAATTTGTGGTGAGATTATTTTCAGAAGTTAAGGTCATCGGTCGCATGAATCACCTACATGTGACTTGCGTGTACGCCTGGGTAAATGCCCAGGGCATTGCTTATTCATGCATTGTTGATGCGTGGCAATCTATGCAAATAAGCCTTCTTTGAACTCTGACCCTCAGTATCTATTGGGACATGCAGTGTCAATTGTCAAATAAAGTTGCCCTGAACTTAAGACTGAATCAGCTGGGTTGACTCTTCAGGCTGAAGAGTCAACCACAGCTGATTCAGTATGAATCCTGGGCACATTCTGGGTGGAATATCGTTTACTGTGGTGCGTTAAACACAACCAAGTTGCACTATTCCCAACGACTTCAGTTACACCTAGAACTTGAAAGTGAAAACAAGAATGCAGATCATACAGATGCTGTGATGTTTATGTTATTAAACGATCAATGTAGGCCTATGTAGTGTACTGTGATTCTTTTGGGGGCAAGTGGATGAAAATAATGATACTTTTCGAAACGAAAGTTGGTCAACCGATGAATGAAACGGGCGGCTGTTGTGCACACTGTTCTATCTATTGTTGCAAACGTGGCCCGAGCGCTTGGGCCCGGGGTGTTCCTTCCTCCATGGTCCACGCCATCGTGGTCTTGGCGGTTGATATTGCACACAATAACAACATCGCCTTAGTCAGCTTTGCCGAGGCGTTGTCGGCACGCATGGAACGTGTTAACCTCTCGGCCGGGCGGTATCGTATGTCTAGCACCTGCATGGCGTAATTATGTTATACCAACCGCGCCTTCCGTCTGTCAATCAAGGAGGAAAAGAAGTGACGTCTTCAGTCGTGTCCGATCCTAAGGTGATCCATTGGGAAATGACATGGTATCGTTTTGCGTGAACAGTGTCAACTCATAGGCCAACTTTACCAGTTTATGGCTTCGGTCGAAAAGTTGTGGAAAGGTGACAGTGTCATTTGGAATAGTAGTTACTATACCAGAGTGGGGTAGCAGATTTGTGTAGAAGTTGCGAAAGCCACAGCGAATTAAATCAGTTTGTGCCGTGGTAAATCTAGATGAACTGGAGGAAGGGGTGTGCCCCTATGATAAATAAAAGCCAGTTTGACGAAATGCATTAATTAAAGTACCATTCCAGGTCAATCCTTGTCTGCTAAAACAACCTCCCCATCAAGTGGAAAAGTAGCTCCGCCCCTTCTTTGTTGTGTGGGCATTTGAGGCGATTCGTTTCGTGCGACGTCGATGGATCGGCCTGTGCATCTGGTCTGACAAGTCAGGAACGAGTGGTCTTTGTCGAGTGGTTTCACAGAAAATACAGAAAGAAATAAACAAGGGCAGAGCCCTGTGTTGCTTTTGGCAGCGACGCACGATTAATGCTTCAAGTGCATGTACTCTCACCTCCCGGAGTTTGCGACAGGCGGGCGGGATGGAGGGACTATAATAATAGAGGGAAAGTTGAGGTTTCTCTCAGGAAGAGGGGACAGACATACATTAACAAGGCCTAAATGTCGAGGGGGTCGACACCGTGGTAATCCGGCCTGTGTCTCGCAAGGTGAACTCCCGTTCCCCGGGGGAGCAAGGCGCTAATGCTCGGTGGAGCCACGGTCCTGTGCGCGCAGTATGGTTCATCTCAAGTCCACGTGACATGCTTCGTGGCTGCCAAAACACCCGCTCTCGCAATAACGTTCATTAGGTTTGTTTCTGGAAGGAGACCATTTTCTCAAAAAAAAAATAAATAAATAAAGCGAAAAGTAGCCAGACAGGGCCGCCGTGTAACTAGCGACGGCTGCTTCAAATGTTTAGCCTCAAATCAAGTCGCGTGTGTTCAGTTACACACGTAAGCTGTGTTCCGAGCTCTATGGTAGAATGGAAGACGAAATGGAGTTTTCGTCATGTTTTTACATGTGTTTATACAAAGGATGGCATTGAGGTGATGTGGCGAGGTCGCATCGGGTCAAGTTATGTGGAGGAACCCGAGGTGAGGGAGGTGACAAGGGGTGTTTCTTTATCCCAGCGCGGTACTCCAACTGCTCATGCGCATTGCAAGATATGACAGGCTCAACCTAAAAACCAGTCCGCCGTACGCTTGCTATTTGAAATCGCACAGGGTACAAAGAAAACCACCAATGATCTACTTTCATTACCATAAAGCTGGCCACACTGAGGTTGGCTGCAGTGTCTTTTAAAGTAGATTCGCCGCTCAAGTGGATTGTTTCGCCTTCTTCCTATGAGTTTGAGTTACATGAAAACTTGCATTTTGCGAATTCAATGACGCTGAACCCCTTAAGCACGTATGGATTTAGCTCCTGTGTTAAACACATTTAGAATACTGAACAGGCTTGATAATTTGATAATGTTTCGTTAATAAAACTGCATTATTCGCTTTGCATATTCCATTAATTTCAATGAAGTTTTAAAAAACCAAAATTTATGCCATACCGATAAATAAAAGTTATGTCGTAAGAGCCTTTACTGTGTCGTCCCGTGAAACAAGTAATATTTAATTATTGAAATGGCCTCTTATTTTTCTCTTTTGTCTCGTTTTGGCAGATGTGTTCATTTTCCTCGAGGCTAATCTTGCACTGCCCAGTTCTCCCCAGTTGCCAGCCCCAACCGATTTGATTCTACGAAGGTGCTTCGCTAGCCTTATGGATGTTCATGGAACAAAGTGACCCCGCCTGGCCCCACCCAGGAGCACTGAATAGGTCTCCGTACGCCGACACCCAGCAGCGACAGCTCCAGCGGTTAGCCGCCTCGGAGAGAGCCGACAGCGCCAGCGAGACCTCCGGGAGTGAGTCCCGCGGCTCCAGCGAGGAAGAGGCCGATCGCAGCCCCGGTTCGTCTGTCTCCTCCAGAGTCGATCGCCGCTCGGTCGGTAGCGCCTGCACCTCCCACCACACCCCTTCGCCGCCTGCTACCGCAGCCTCCTCTCCGCCCCAGCACCTTGTCTCCCCTCACCTCCTGAGCGGCGGCGTCGCCTCCAGTAATAACGCTGAGTTGTACCGAGGCGCCTCCGCCTGCCTGGCCGAGCCCTCCCAGCTCCTGCAGAGCGAAGACGTGGAGGTGTTCTTCAATCACCTGGACCGACAACCCTCTCCGAACTCTCGCCAGCACCAGTCTCACCACCAGTGCCTCCCAAGCGAAGGTGGCCTTCCAGAAGCTCCCCAGCAACCCAGTCTGAACCCTCACCCCCACCAGGACCAGTTCAACCCTTCCATGATGTACCAGTCGCCAATGACAAACCTTCCCAGCGTAAGCGCTGGGGGCATCCAGCATTCTTACGACAACTCCTTCCTGCATTCGGCCGGTAGTCCTGTCTACGTGCCAACCACGCGCCCGGCTGTGCTATCGATGCCCCACGCCCACTCTCAGTACCTGCAGGCCGCCGCTCCTACTGGTTCCCCTCAGCAGGCCATGCAAGGCAATACCCACCCAGCTGCCGCGGCCGTCTGGAGCCAGCAATCGGAGGCTGGGTACACCGCCACCACCACCTCTCACCCGTCCGTGGGTCAGCGGTTCGCCTTCCCGCCAAGTCCGCCGATTACCTCTACTGGGAGTCCCCTGACTGCCCGACATGCCTCCACGGCACACAACGGCCTGGGAGCGTACTACGTCAGCCCAGAGATCGCCTCCTGGTCAGCCCCCTTCGACAGTTCTGTAGCACTCCATCCAAACATGATCACAAGACGCCCAAGTCCAGGTAAGTTAGAAATAGTTCATCCTGTGAAACTGGCATTAGCGCAGCAGACTCATGATGAAAAAAAGTTGGTCATTTCAATGTAGTGCAATGATATTCTAACGACCGAAGGTGTGCAGTTACGTATTTCTGGTTTACTCGAGTTAAGCTTTACCGACTTTGGGAAAGAAGTTTCTCAGGTGTGTAAACACGTGAAACCTGGGTTGGAGCAGGTGTTGTAGGTGAAATCTCGACTTACCGAACAGTAAATAGCCAATATTGGTGCACAAAATGATAGCCTTCATCTTCAAGAAAAATCAACTTTATATGAACACTTGGCATGATTAAAGCAACGATTTGAAGTCACATTTTGTTAAATAACGTTGACGATAGAGTGAAAAATATGCATTTTAAATAAAAACATTAGTGAAGGGCGAACGCTAAAGTGTGACTTGACTGAAGAGAACCCAAGCCTCCACGCCTCCAGCGAGTTCCATTCCGCACTAAACAGTAACGATTTATACTTCAGAGATAAGTGATGTCAGCAAGATATTCAAGCCTTCATACAAAACTTGTCTTCTGAAACTCCAAAAGAATTGCCCCCCCCATAAAATCCTCCCCCCCCCTCACACACCACACATTCACACTTCGCCGTACCAAGCGAACCCAAACCGCTGTCGGCGTCTTTCTCTTTCAACCCTTTTTTATAACGTGTATTGTTAATTGGTAGTCAATTGATACCGTATTGTACAAGCCACTTCGCGCCCGGCGTGTCTCTGTTCTGAACAATTCGGCCCCTTTGTCCCCTCGAGGTGGACGTGGAGTTTGCTCGGCCGTGGCAAGACTGGGATCAGATGTAATCCCTGTTGGTTTTAAGGTCTTAAGCCGGATAAGCGGCTCGTTGAGAGATGCTGGAGTAACCGACCCGCAAAGACGTTAGCTTCGGTCTCACTTCACCTTCATAATGGCTTCGGTGGCTTGGTGCAAACATGGTGTAAATAGCACTAAGTCAACTCGCTCTTACAGAAAGTACTTGTATGACTTAAAAGCAAATTTATTTAGTCGGCCAAGGTTTAAGCAAGATGTATTATTGATGTTCACTCCTCTGTGCCCTTAAAACAGAACCCAACAAAAGACAAGCAAAGAGTGCCCTTCTTTATTGTTATTCATGTTGTTTATACTTTTGGGAGTGTTGTGTTGGTCGTACCTCAAGGTGCACGTGCCATTGACAAGGACCTATTACGATGCCCTTGGTCCCGTGTTGGTGCTCCGTCCAGACAGTACGGCGGTCAGGCTTAGGTTCAGTGACTGACCAGTCATGGATTTGTCTTTCCTGCCCTTGCAAGGTCCTCTTTGTAATTGGCCTTTGTATTTGTCACTCTTTTTCGAAACCCATACGGCCATATATAAAGTTATTAGATGTTACAAGGGGTGGTTGAAATGTATCAAACGGAATTCAGTTCCTCCAGGTTATTTTCAAGACACCAAGTTGTTCAGAGATAGGACTCGACAAATTACCGTGTCTGATTCACGTGTTCGTTTTAATTCAGGATTCACCGGATTTATTGTCAAAAAGAATAGGCTTTCTCTGTAGATTACTGATTAAATTACGCAGTTTCAGTTTTGAAATTCATGTTGACTGGTCTGTGAAAAGGCTTCGACCTTTTGTCAAGAAACTGAAGGTGTGTACCTCCAAAAATAAATGTCATGAAATGAAACACTGCCCAAAAAAAAAAAAACGAAGAAGGCGTTGAACAACGAAGAGAAGGAAAGACAAACAAAAATTAAAATGAAACTCGGTCAAAATTCAGGGTGTGATACTGTATGTTGTTAGTAAGCTGACGGCTTATATCCACAAAACCGAATCAAAAAAGCAAAACCAAAAATAACCGTAGGTCTAGTTTGGTTTGTTTTATATCAATGCAGCACAGACCTTCTGCGTAATAATCTTACGAGCGAATAGCGTCCACACAACACGTAGTTGATATTCATTATTCTAATCTTTCGTGAGGTTTATTCTAAAATAATATATACTTCACTTGATAACCTCTACACCGGCACATATAATATCTTTTACATAAAATTACAATGTCCCGTAAAAAAACAGATACCTCTTAGCTAGTATTTCTTTTTGTGCAGCAACTGCAAAATCAGACACATTATGATAATATATACGCTCCTCACACCTACTTCACCCCCGATAATCGGCCATTAAAACTGTTCCCTATCACCCGATATCTAGCATTTGGTTCCCGCTATCTGTACCAGCGTATCATAACATTTAGTTTAGGACAAGATTTAGGCAAACAGACAAGCTGCTATAGTCCTGCTGACTTGCCACGTTCGAGCTGTTTCCATGCTTGCTCCAGATCTCTTTCAAAACAACTAAAATCTGCTTCAAAAAAGAGACAATTTGCTGATAAACGGAGATATGGCCACAAATGGTCATGGCTGTCATAACACGACCTGACGCTGATAAAAACCGAGAACCGTGTTTGGCTCTCTGAAGAGGAAAACGAAACCAATTCCTTTGTTTGCTTCGAGAAAATCGATGAAACATAGCTTCATGGTTCGAACGAGGAAAAATATTCGGTTCGGTAATTAAATATTCCACGGTTTATTTTAGAGTACGTAGATTATTTGGTGTTAGTCACAAAATCAAACGAGCCAAAAATGTGCTAAATTCGTGCTAAGGGTAACGCTCCTGACGACTTTGCTTAAAGTGCTCTGAATAGTTCCCCCCCCCAAAAAAAACCCTCACATTCTGCTTGAGTTATTCCCCAAATTGTGCAATTAGTAGTCACAAGAGGTGCGACTTGTTTATAACTGTTGTACATAGTCTGAAATCATCAAGGTTGTTTGGGTCTCATTTTGAAACGCATGCAAGGGGGAACATTAAAATCCGGCCCCTTCTGAGAACAAAGGTTTGAGGTTTTAACAACGTTGCCCTATCTATCCACCTGCCCACCTGTCTTAGGGATGGACTAAACAATGCCCCCACCTTCATAAGCCTTTACACCATGGAGAATAAATCTTTATATTTCCTTGCAAAACACTGAGTATAATGGGAACATAGGCTCAGATAACATGGGGTATGAGTTGCAGAAAAACATTGCTGGGAGCCGACAGTCGGTTTTGAACTTTTGTTGGAGAGGCACAGGCTGGTATTTTAATCCTAGATGAAACCCTGGTTCGAGATGATGGTTAGTTTGGATAAGAAGATAGGGTGGAAGGGAGACGATTGATGAGGCGGCTACAATTCTATGGCACACCCCCAAAGCGTGCAAATTCATTTTGACTTCGCCCGTAAAATGTGTTTTTAAGACAAGTACATAAGGAAGGGCCTCACGAGTTGGGTGGGGATTGATAAGGAATGGTTCAAAGTAATGATAGAGAAATGGAAAACTGGAAGCCGCGTCACCATTACACTAGTAACTACGAAAGAAAATTAATTTAATGGGCCTTATTTCTGACCACGGTATTTAAACCAGTGGCGGTCAAATATGAAAGGCGCGTCGGGTGACATTGAATTGGGCGACCATTATGTTGCTCGTTCAATAAAAAATCATATTCATCAATTTGATTTGACAATCATAATCGTTATGTTTTCAGGCAATCTGTCAAACAAACTGGCAGATAGTTGTGACGGAGATCCCGAATCAATTTCTGAATATTATTTTTCGGGGTCCGTCGGTTAGAGCCATTATTTTGCGCGTTTATACCAACTTATTGCTCCTCGTAACAACTACTCGAGAACCAGAAATCCTCGCCTGGCCCCCCACCGTTTAAGACAGGGATTACTGGTTGTGTACACAGCATCACCGCCCCAAAGCCTCCCTCCCCGGACCAAAATTCGGCGATAAAAACCAGTTTTATCAGCCCTAAAGTTTACCCACTTCCCCAGCTTAACATCCCCTACTAAATCCTTTTTATTATCTCTGCCCGTGAATCGCGTGCAAATACACCCTTACAGGACCGGCGGCAGGCCTAATAGCTCACGGCAGAGCTCCCTGCTCTGATCGTAGAGCAAACTCATAGGTGTATTCCGACCGGAGGAACAATGGCACTTGTATTGTAACCAATTTTTTTTCCCTATCCATCTTTCTCTTTTTTTTTCAGTAGGCACTATTTACCGATGCCCCATTTTTTTGGTGCGGCAAACAATTTGAGTCAATATTTTCCAATGGGCCTAAGAGTCATTTATTATCCTTTAAGCCCATGGCAAGGCGACCTCCTGTTTCCAAATTAACCCCTGTGGTTTGTTTGCGGGGGTTCAAATTCTAGGGGGGGGGGTTAAGACTGACCTGGATGGGACCAAACTCGGTTTGCCTGCAGAAAAACAGCCAACCGTTTTGGTTCCTGCTGAATGTTAAGAGCAACAAGTGTCGTTCCTTCCACTTTAACCAAAGCTCCATGCTTTAACCCACTTGACAAACTAAGAACGCACATGGCACTCTTATATAATCGTATGCTAGCATAGCATATCCAGTTTGATAACTTTGAATTTCGTAAAATAGGTTTCCAAAGTAGCTTATTGGAGACATTTTACTGCAGATGGTATATAGCACATTAAATGGAGGGGGGAAGGTAGATCAAAAAATGAGCCCGTGACAGCTTGTATTTGAGACAGATGGTCCGAACGGCACAAGAAGTGACATTTTGACCAAAAAACTACAGACACGCTTAGTTTTGATTTAACCCATGTCAAGACCCAACATTTTGTTGCGTTTGAAGACCTCTTCGGTGGCTTTTGCTACGTTGTGTGGAGGTGCATTTTTTCTTGAGTCGATCCGACAGATTTTTATGTTTTGACGAACTTTTCCGGTGCCCATGACAATGTTATCTATAGGACGTCATGACATTTGAACTTTGCCAAGCTTCACAATAAAAACAAAAGAAATGGGATGTGTTTAACAAGGTTCTGCTTTATTTAGAAAAGAAAACTGTTACAAGAATCGTGATACAGTAAAGCTTATGCAATCCCTGCGCGACAATTGGTTCAGGAAGTGGTGCAGAAAAAAGTG